TATCTAGAGTGAACACCACCACATGTCTAGAGTGAACACCGCCACGCGTCTAGAGTGAACACCGCCACGCGTCTAGAGTGAACACCACCACATGTCTAGAGTGAACACCGCCACGCGTCTAGAGTGAACACCGCCACGTATCTAGAGTGAACACCACCACGTGTCTAGAGTGAACACCGCCACGCGTCTAGAGTGAACACCGCCACGTATCTAGAGTGAACACCACCACGTGTCTAGAGTGAACACCGCCACGTGTCTAGAGTGAACACCGCCACGCGTCTAGAGTGAACACCACCACACGTCTAGAGTGAACACTGCCACGTGTCTAGAGTGAACACCACCACACGTCTAGAGTGAACACCGCCACGTGTCTAGAGTGAACAACGCCACGTGTCTAGAGTGAACACCGCCACGTGTCTAGAGTGAACACCGCCACGCGTCTAGAGTGAACACCGCCACGCGTCTAGAGTGAACACCACCACACGTCTAGAGTGAACACCGCCACGTGTCTAGAGTGAACACCGCCACGTGTCTAGAGTGAACACCACCACACGTCTAGAGTGAACACCGCCACGTGTCTAGAGTGAACACCACCACACGTCTAGAGTGAACAACGCCACGTGTCTAGAGTGAACACCGCCACGTGTCTAGAGTGAACAACGCCACGTGTCTAGAGTGAACAACGCCACGTGTCTAGAGTGAACACCGCCACGTGTCTAGAGTGAACACCGCCACGCGTCTAGAGTGAACACCGCCACGCGTCTAGAGTGAACACCGCCACGTGTCTAGAGTGAACACCACCACGCGTCTAGAGTGAAAACCACCACGCGTCTAGAGTGAACACCACCACGTGTCTAGAGTGAACACCACCACGCGTCTAGAGTGAACACCACCACGCGTCTAGAGTGAACACCACCACGCGTCTAGAGTGAACACCGCCACGCGTCTAGAGTGAACACCGCCACGTGTCTAGAGTGAACACCGCCACGCGTCTAGAGTGAACACCGCCACGTATCTAGAGTGAACACCACCACGCGTCTAGAGTGAACACCGCCACGCGTCTAGAGTGAACACCGCCACGCGCTAGAGTGAACACCACCACACGTCTAGAGTGAACACCGCCACGTGTCTAGAGTGAACACCACCACGTGTCTAGAGTGAACACCACCACGTGTCTAGAGTGAACACCACCACACGTCTAGAGTGAACACCGCCACGCGTCTAGAGTGAACACCGCCACGCGTCTAGAGTGAACACCACCACGTGTCGAGAGTGAACATCACCACGTGTCTAGAGTGAACACCACCACGTGTCTAGAGTGAACACCACCACACGTCTAGAGTGAACACCGCCACGCGTCTAGAGTGAACACCACCACGCGTCTAGAGTGAACACCGCCACGCGTCTAGAGTGAACACCACCACGTGTCGAGAGTGAACATCACCACACGTCTAGAGTGAACACCGCCACGCGTCTAGAGTGAACACCGCCACGCGTCTAGAGTGAACACCACCACGTGTCTAGAGTGAACACCACCACGTGTCTAGAGTGAACACCACCACACGTCTAGAGTGAACACCGCCACGCGTCTAGAGTGAACACCACCACGTGTCGAGAGTGAACATCACCACACGTCTAGAGTGAACACCGCCACGCGTCTAGAGTGAACACCACCACACGTCTAGAGTGAACACCACCACGTGTCTAGAGTGAACACCACCACACGTCTAGAGTGAACACCGCCACGCGTCTAGAGTGAACACCGCCACGTATCTAGAGTGAACACCACCACGTGTCTAGAGTGAACACCGCCACGCGTCTAGAGTGAACACCGCCACGCGTCTAGAGTGAACACCACCACACGTCTAGAGTGAACACCGCCACGTGTCTAGAGTGAACACCACCACGTGTCTAGAGTGAACACCACACGTGTCTAGAGTGAACCACCACACAGTCTAGAGGTGAACACCGCCACGCGTCTAGAGTGAACACCGCCACGCGTCTAGAGTGAAACCACCACGTGTCGAGAGTGAACATCACCACGTGTCTAGAGTGAACACCACCACGTGTCTAGAGTGAACACCACCACACGTCTAGAGTGAACACCGCCACGCGTCTAGAGTGAACACCACCACACGTCTAGAGTGAACACCCGCCACGCGTCTAGAGTGAACACCACCACGTGTCGAGAGTGAACATCACCACACGTCTAGAGTGAACACCGCCACGCGTCTAGAGTGAACACCGCCACGCGTCTAGAGTGAACACCACCACGTGTCTAGAGTGAACACCACCACGTGTCTAGAGTGAACACCACCACACGTCTAGAGTGAACACCGCCACGTGTCTAGAGTGAACACCACCACGTGTCTAGAGTGAACACCACCACGTGTCTAGAGTGAACACCACCACACGTCTAGAGTGAACACCGCCACGCGTCTAGAGTGAACACCGCCACGCGTCTAGAGTGAACACCACCACGTGTCGAGAGTGAACACCACCACGTGTCTAGAGTGAACACCACCACACGTCTAGAGTGAACACCGCCACGCGTCTAGAGTGAACACCACCACACGTCTAGAGTGAACACCGCCACGCGTCTAGAGTGAACACCACCACGTGTCGAGAGTGAACATCACCACACGTCTAGAGTGAACACCGCCACGCGTCTAGAGTGAACACCGCCACGCGTCTAGAGTGAACACCACCACGTGTCTAGAGTGAACACCACCACGTGTCTAGAGTGAACACCACCACACGTCTAGAGTGAACACCGCCACGCGTCTAGAGTGAACACCACCACGTGTCGAGAGTGAACATCACCACACGTCTAGAGTGAACACCGCCACGCGTCTAGAGTGAACACCACCACACGTCTAGAGTGAACACCACCACGTGTCTAGAGTGAACACCACCACGTGTCTAGAGTGAACACCACCACACGTCTAGAGTGAACACCGCCACGCGTCTAGAGTGAACACCGCCACGTGTCTAGAGTGAACACCGCCACGCGTCTAGAGTGAACACCGCCACGTATCTAGAGTGAACACCGCCACGTGTCTAGAGTGAACACCGCCACGCGTCTAGAGTGAACACCGCCACGCTCTAGAGTGAACACCACCACACGTCTAGAGTGAACCCGCCACGTGTCTAGAGTGAACACCACCACGTGTCTAGAGTGAACACCACCACGTGTCTAGAGTGAACCCCACCACCGTCTAGAGTGAACACCGCCACGCGTCTAGAGTGAACACCGCCACGCGTCTAGAGTGAACACCACCACGTGTCGAGAGTGAACATCACCACGTGTCTAGAGTGAACACCACCACGTGTCTAGAGTGAACACCACCACACGTCTAGAGTGAACACCGCCACGCGTCTAGAGTGAACACCACCACACGTCTAGAGTGACACCGCCACGCGTCTAGAGTGAACCCACCACGTGTCTAGTGAACACCACCACTGTCTCTAGAGTGAACACCACCACACGTCTAGAGTGAACACCGCCACGCGTCTAGAGTGAACACCACCACGTGTCGAGTGTGAACATCACCACACGTCTAGAGTGAACACCGCCACGCGTCTAGAGTGAACACCACCACACGTCTAGAGTGAACACCACCACGTGTCTAGAGTGAACACCACCACGTGTCTAGAGTGAACACCACCACACGTCTAGAGTGAACACCGCCACGCGTCTAGAGTGAACACCGCCACGCGTCTAGAGTGAACACCGCCACGTATCTAGAGTGAACACCACCACGTGTCTAGAGTGAACACCGCCACGCGTCTAGAGTGAACACCGCCACGCGTCTAGAGTGAACACCACCACACGTCTAGAGTGAACACCGCCACGTGTCTAGAGTGAACACCACCACGTGTCTAGAGTGAACACCACCACGTGTCTAGAGTGAACACCACCACACGTCTAGAGTGAACACCGCCACGCGTCTAGAGTGAACACCGCCACGCGTCTAGAGTGAACACCACCACGTGTCGAGAGTGAACATCACCACGTGTCTAGAGTGAACACCACCACGTGTCTAGAGTGAACACCACCACACGTCTAGAGTGAACACCGCCACGCGTCTAGAGTGAACACCACCACACGTCTAGAGTGAACACCGCCACGCGTCTAGAGTGAACACCACCACGTGTCGAGAGTGAACATCACCACACGTCTAGAGTGAACACCGCCACGCGTCTAGAGTGAACACCGCCACGCGTCTAGAGTGAACACCACCACGTGTCTAGAGTGAACACCACCACGTGTCTAGAGTGAACACCACCACACGTCTAGAGTGAACACCGCCACGTGTCTAGAGTGAACACCACCACGTGTCTAGAGTGAACACCACCACGTGTCTAGAGTGAACACCACCACACGTCTAGAGTGAACACCGCCACGCGTCTAGAGTGAACACCGCCACGCGTCTAGAGTGAACACCACCACGTGTCGAGAGTGAACACCACCACGTGTCTAGAGTGAACACCACCACACGTCTAGAGTGAACACCGCCACGCGTCTAGAGTGAACACCACCACACGTCTAGAGTGAACACCGCCACGCGTCTAGAGTGAACACCACCACGTGTCGAGAGTGAACATCACCACACGTCTAGAGTGAACACCGCCACGCGTCTAGAGTGAACACCGCCACACGTCTAGAGTGAACACCACCACGTGTCTAGAGTGAACACCACCACGTGTCTAGAGTGAACACCACCACACGTCTAGAGTGAACACCGCCACGCGTCTAGAGTGAACACCACCACGTGTCGAGAGTGAACATCACCACACGTCTAGAGTGAACACCGCCACGCGTCTAGAGTGAACACCACCACACGTCTAGAGTGAACACCACCACGTGTCTAGAGTGAACACCACCACACGTCTAGAGTGAACACCGCCACGCGTCTAGAGTGAACACCGCCACGCGTCTAGAGTGAACACCACCACGTGTCGAGAGTGAACATCACCACGCTGTTGACGAGCCTCACCTTGTTGTTATTGTTGTTGTGGGCAGGTCGCTTCTGAAAACAAGAGCGGTATAGCAGCTCAAGCGGGCGTGGCCTGGTAAAAATAAAAACTGTGTTAATGTTTAAAGTAAAACAAAGGTACAAAGTGGCGAGCCGGGTGAAGACAAATTCAACTTAAGCGAGAGAATTGAAGCGAACGCGACCAGGCGAGGGCAGGAGGCAAGGCCCCGCGTTGTAAAGTTACAACGTGGACATCGCTTCCATGCTCGCTGCTACTCAATTGACATCCCGACGAGAGAGAGAGAGGCTCTACCTCGGTACACAACCACCACCACAACAACAACCACAACAACAACCACCACAACAACCACAACAACCACCACCACCGCGATGAGAATTTCTCACCTCGGATTTCAGTGCACGGCCCGAGCGGCAACTTCCTGGTCCCTCGTGACGTCACGCGGCAGCAGGTGACATGACGTCACTTGCGCGGTACAATGACACTCCCCTCTCACAATGAGCGGCTCTCAACTCGCGACGACTTTCATGAATAATTTATGTTAATGAGCCGCCAGTCACCGGGCGTGGCTTTGCCCAAAAAGGATTGGCACTGGAACAGTTATCGGCAGCGGCTGGGTGGATGTGACGTCACGCTCAAGAGCACGGTGGTCGGGTGGTGAGTGACATGACGTCACTAACGAGGCACACCTCCCCCTGGCGTTTGACGCCGATGAGGTCACGCTGAGCGGTGACGTCAGAGAGCGGGGTCGGAGTTCAAGTTTGTTGACAGAAAGGGAGCGGCAGTGTCGACTCAGCCTCAAACGAGTTCCCGGTGCGGTGTGTAGTCAACATCGCCAGCACTGGGGAGACAAAGGCGGCCGGGCGTGGTGCTGGCCACCCACCCCCCCCCCCTCGTGTGCCGTGACGTGGCTTGGCTCTCCAGCACACCGCTGGCGACATTTCACGATGACATTTTCACGTCCATGAAAAGACAATCGCCATACTAACCTAGGCCGTTTTTTGGCAAAATTTACCCAATTTTCCGAGCTTTGTTTTTCTACTAAAAGTGCATTCCTTGGTTGTGTTTAGCCTGAGTAGCCCATATATTATGTAAAAAAGTGGGGAATTTCATGCATGAAATTTTCGAATATAAAAAAGTTAATCGGCATACTGTGCCGATTTTTAGCCCAAATAAGCCCAACTTTCACAGCTTTATTTTTGGACGAAAGTTAAGTCCTCTATTGTATTTACCCTTAGTATGCCATGTATTAGATTAAAAGTGGAACATTTTATGATGAAATGTTCACGTCCCAATATAGAAAATCGGCATACTAACCTAGGCCGTTTTTGGCCAATAATGGCCAAATTTTTACAGCTTCATTTTTCAATAAAAGTGCAATCCTCGGGTGTGCTTAGCCTTAGTATCCTATATATTACGATAAAAGTGGAATTTCACCATGAATTTTTTTAGTAAAAAAATAAAATCGGCCAAAATTGGCCAAACTTTCACAGCCTTATTTGTCGAAAAAAGTTCATTGGCTCCATTGTATTTAGCCTTAGTATGCCATGTATTAGATGAAAAAAAAAATGTTCACGTCCCAAACAGAAAATCGACATACTAACCTCTACCGTTTTTGGCTAAAATTTTACGAATTTTTACAGCTGTACTTTTAAATAAAAAGTGCATTCCTCGGTTGTGTTGAGCCTGAGTAGCCGATATATTACATTAAAAGTGGGAAATTTCACCATGAAATTTGAAGTAAAAAGTTCAAATCGGCATACTTTACCAATGCCGTTCTTGGGCAAAATTCGCTACATTTCCATAGCTAGATTTTCCAAGAAAAAGTGAATTCCTCCATTTTGTTAAGCATTAGTATGCTCTATGTTACTTTAAAAGTGAGAAATTTCACCAAAGGAAATGCCCCACACCAGGCCCTGGCTCCACAAGATACCACCCTTATGGCGTTCTTGGTTTTGTGCCCAAGTGACACATTTGCTGCCAACCTGCTCTACCATTAAGTTCCCTCCGACTATACACGGACTGCTAAAAACATGGAAGCGAAGTGCTGCTGACGGTGAATCGGATGCCTTAGGACGAGTCTACACAGTTCATCCCAACAATCAGCAGTGCTACTTTCTCCCAATGCTTCTCCATGTTGCCAAAGGGCACACATCTTTTCAAGACCTATAAACAGTGGAACGAGTTGTCTGTCAAACATACAGGAAAGCTTGCAATCTTCGTGCAATTCTTGCGCATGATCACCTTATTCATAAAGCTTTGACAGAAGCTTCTGTTGGTCAGTCCCCTTTCCAACTGACATTGCTCTTCTGCATGACTCTTCAAGTTTGCAGCCCATCTAACCCCATGGGACTCTGGCAAAAATACAAAGAGGGCATGAGAGAGGACATCCTCCACGGAGCTCAATAACAAGATACTAACCTGGACGTCAACTTTTCTGATGTTATCTTCAAACAGGCCCTCATCCTCCTTCACGACAAACTGCACTCCATTGCTGGGAAATACTTCACGTCTATGGGACCACCAACACCCTACAGGGACAACCTGCATGCCCTTGCTCAAGAGATACTACGTGAAATATGCTATTATGCTTGACAGATTCTTAAAAACTTTAGGAAAATTAACCAAAGCTGATGGATGCACAAATAGAAGCCTACACGGAAATCTTGGAAGACATTAAGACTACAAATCGAGTCATTTTTATCCTTGATGCACCTGCCAGTACTGGGAAGACCTTTGTTTTGAAACTGCTCCTCGCAAAGGCTCGCCAGAGAGAGAAAATTGCTCTAGCTGTGGCATCACAGGGGATTGCTGTGTAAGTCGATGTGTGTGTGAGTCGATGTGTGTGTTTAGGTACATGTGTGTGTGTAAGTCGGAGTATCTGTGTTTTTTTTTGCCCAGGCAATGCCAGATGTTTGTGTGTGTACGTCGATGTGTGCGTAAGTCCAAGTGTCCATGTGTGTGTGTCAGTCACTGTGTGTGTGTTAGTCCATGTGTGTGCATGGCTTCATGTGAGTCACTGTGTGTGTGCGTCTATCTGTGTCAGTTGATGTGTGTATGTATATCGATGTGTATGTGTTAGTCCATGTGTGTGTTAGTCCAAAGGTGTTCGCTAACAGCACTTGCCCCTACAGTCTGTTAAGGCTGTATGGGGGATCTTTGTATTTGTGTTGGGAGCAAGTTTGAGTGGCGTGCAGTCGTGGGAGCTGAACGGGCGCCTGCTGCTACTGACAGTCGTTGACTCCGGTGGGACAGACGCTGATAGACAGACACAGACAGACAAGACAGGTGGACAGACACAGACAAGAGGAACAGAGAGAGAGATACAGAGACGACAGACACAGAGACAGGCAGAGAGAGACACAGAGGCAAACAGAGACATAGACGGACAGAGAGACGTTGAATCAAACTCACTGAACTCGCTCCATTGAAAGAGATTCCTCGATCTTTGCCCATCCCCGGAAGTCGTTCTAGTTTCTATTTATTTCATTGTGTGTGGTGTGTGGTGTAAGCAATGTGGGATATCGATGTACACGGACATGAACATCAGCAGACTTTCATACTCTTTGGTTCTTTCAGTAAAGTCACGTAGGTAGAAAAAATAAAATAATAAATAAATGACGAAGTTTCGAACGCAACACGAGCAGTCGTCCTCAGGCGAAAACATCCAGACATTGTCGCGGCAGAAGTCACGTGAGCTACAGCTGAGCATTGTTTTAATGCGGTGGGCTCACGCGAAATTGATTTCTGTAAGACGAAGGTACTTTGAAAACCCACTGGCGATGCTCTTTTATAAAAGCGCACAACTTTATCTATCTGTATTCTTAGTTCTTTCTTAAAATTATTAATTTTGATTTCATTTTTTACCTACGTGACTTTACAGAAAGAACTAAGAATATGAATCCTTGCAGTCACGAAAGCTTCAAATCTAGAATTAATCTGTGATGAATGCTGCACTTTCCGTCGTTTTCATGCAAAGGGCGCTATAACCCTACGCGCCCCCTGCATGAACGACGGAGGCGCAGAGACAGACGTTCGATCACGTTGGAATCGATCTGCAGACAGCGGTCTTCTCGCACGGCCAGCTGTCGCCTCATCTCCATCCCGCGATCCCAACCAGGTGAAAGTCCGCATCAAACCGAATCCCCGGCAAGGCCATCTACTTAACGACGAGAGAAAATTCACACGAAATTTCGTTTTCAATTAAGTCTTCCAGATGGAAAATGATATCAGCTTTTATTTAAGAAACACAATTCAAAACATAATACAATTCAAAGTTGTTTCATTTTAAAACTTCAAAAGGGAGCATCGGGTGCTTGCGTGAATGCGTCGTTCGTGTGAATTTTCTTCGTGACTTTCCTGGCCCAAGGCCGTAAATGGTTGTGGGGGGCACCGCAGGCGGTCAGGCTTGCTTCACCCCATGGTGGTGAACATCCAGACGTTAATCGGCAAGGACCATTTCTCGTCCTAATTCGACAATATCTACGTCAACACGTAATACAAAATTATAATTCGTGTTGTCGAGAATGTATCTCCTCTACGTGTAACTTTTGAGTGGTATGCCTTGTAACAGATGAATGATCCGAGTGTTCTCCCTATTTCAAAGACAATGAGTTGCTCCAGAGGCAGACGCTTGCTGAAAACACAAAAGTACCCTTTGACCTGTACCACAAGAACAATGAGTCTCACCTGAGTGATCTGTACAGGTTACTTCCAAAACACACACTTTGTCCTAACAAGACTTATTCAATGTTTGACTCTTATAGACAAAATGGTACATGTACGCACACCATCATACAAGTATTCATTCTAACTTATTGACAGGCATGTTAACAAAATTGAATGACTGCACTGAAATATACTGCATTAGGTTACATCCTATTAACAAGAAGCTAATGAAAAAAAATACGCACCGTCTGCTTAACAGTGTATGTACAACATACTAATGCACCATTCAAAACGAGTCGGCCATTGCATGCTGGCATCTGGGTCAAAATTTATCAAATTCTAAACATTACCTACAAACTCCACAACTGAGATGCCACATCAACCATCGCCCCCTACTGACAGGCTCTTGTCCACATGCAGGCCGGTGCAGGGCCACCACCTTGTGCCACACAGGGGCAGCTGCTACTTGGAGATGCTCTTCGAGTGTTTGAGACGAGAAACGATACAAAACTACGAATTGTCGAGGCAATTAAGCAAGCACAATATAAATGCATATGAGAACATAGAGAATGCTTGGGAGCTTATTGGCATTCGCTCCTGGTTAGAGATCTACCCAACACACAGGTCCACAAAGACTGGCCGCTCTTACCCTGCAGGTTGAACCTAGGAACTGAGTGTTCAACTTCACATTCTTGTCATTAAAGGCTTGTGACAAAGGTGCATCTATTGGAGCGGCATCGTCTAAGGCAGTGGTTCTTAACCTTGTTGGAGGTACTGAACCCCACCAGTTTCATATGCGCATTCACAGAACCCTTTTTAATTGGAAAAATAAAATTATTTTTTCAAATTCAAAACATAGGTACATGTTTTACTGGTGCACAATCATACGAGTCAGGTGTGTGTCTTAACCTCCGCCGAACCCCTGAGACTGACTCACCGAACCCCTGGGGTTCGATCGAACCCAGGTTAAGAACCACTGTTCTAAGGCTTACGCATCTCCCGGGTCTCCATTTGACTTTGTATTGTCTCGGAGGAAGTCCACCCACACTTCCACTTCCACAAACTGCTGGGAGTTGTCTCGCTCTGCCTCACAGTCAGAATTCTCCTCCTGCTTCACGTTGCCTCCATCGATGTGAAGGTCCGATTTGGGAGTTGAATCTTCACATTTTACCTTCACTTCTTCGCTCTTCACCATCACGTCTTCATATTTCACCTTGACACCTTCAAAAGTGTCCAAGCTGGGATTTTCTTCCGGTTCTTCTTTCATGAGGGATGGGCTCATTGCGGCACTTTGACTTTCACAAGCTGATTTCAAACTCCACTCCTGGTGGATTTTCTGACACTTGTGTGTTCTCTGGTGTACATGAAGATGTGATGACTGTGCAAACGCCTTCCTGCACGAAGTGCACCTGAAGGGTTTCTCTCCCGTGTGTGTTCTCTGGTGTATTTTAAGATCAGATGAACGTGAAAACGCCTTCCCACACACACTGCACTTGAAGGGTTTCTCTCCCGTGTGGGATCTCTGGTGTTTTACAAGACCAGATGAATCTGAAAACGCCTTCCCACACAAAGTGCACTTGAAGGGTTTCTCTCCCGTGTGTGTTCTCTGGTGTTTTATAAGAGCAGATAACTGTGAAAACGTCTTCCCACACACACTGCACTTGAAGGGTTTCTCTCCTGTGTGAGTTCTCTGGTGTACTACAAGAGTAGATGACTGTGCAAACGCCTTCTCACACACACTGCACTTGAAGGGTTTCTCTCCCGTGTGTGTTCTCTGGTGTGTTACAAGATGAGCTGAACATGCAAACACCTTCCCACACACACTGCACTTGAAGGGTTTCTCTCCCGTGTGTGTTCTCTGGTGTTTTACAAGAGTAGATGAAAGTGCAAACGCCTTCCCACACACACTGCACTTGAAGGGTCTCTCTCCTGTGTGAGTTCTCTGGTGCCGTGTGAAATGTGCAGGATGATCCGTGCTGTATGCACACCGGTCGCATTGTTGCCTTTTTGCACCGAGCCACGCCAAGTGCCTTTGCTCCATGAGACCACTTCTGTAGAGGCAGCGACAGCTGCAGACAGAAACAAAGAATATCCAAACCATCTACACGTCAGTATCGAGGCACAGAGGAATGCATATATACACAGTCACACGTGACTTACACGTCTATACTTATTCATATATTTATAATATAGTAAAAAAAAGTGTCCCAAATTCATCACACGGGCTGTTATGGCACACAATGAGAGAGCAAATGGTCATAAACATGCCTGGAAGCCCTCGTATCTTCAAAATGAACGTTAACCCAAAACTCAGCACACAATTTCAGCTGTCTGGCTTCTAAATAAATGTTTATGAAAGCTAAATTCAGCTGACATAGCAAAGGGTGTTGAAAATACTATTTGTGTCATGCACAAATGCATAAATTAATGTTCAATCGCAATTTAGAGGTGTGAAGCCAGGCACAGATGTCCTTGATTGCTGGGATGAGCAGTTCCGACTTCAGCTGCTGCACGTGTGTGCTGTGATCACTTCCTGACTCCATTCTTACAAAGAGTTCCAGAGGAAAACTAAAATAAACTACCGTTTTGATATAACCTCTGTGCTCAATAGAGTTAATAGACTTTACTGCAAATACAAACTTGACACTGTCACACACTCAGAGGTGGAGCCAGGATTTTCAGGTAGGGGGGGGAAACCCCTCCAGCAATGAAAAATTACAGGAGTTGTTGTAAGCAAGGAGTTGTTAGTGAGAAAGGAGTTGTTAGTAAGAAAGGACTTGTCCCTTGCTTTTCATTCGACGCGTGTGATCGTCATCGCACTCGCTGAACGTGTTAATGCATTCAGGAAAGAAAAATAGACTTTTGTATTTTGGGGGAGGGGGAAATGACCATGACGTATGTGGCATCAACCCGCATCACACCTGAGCTAAGCGCTCTGCAATGCTTACCCCCCTACCACATGGCTCTTCGCGCGCCGTACTTCTACAGCTGTTCACAGCGTGCCGGGAGATTTTAGGTGGCGCTTCGCTCCAGGCCGATTAAGTCATTGGCTTCTCGGAGTTTCAATACAAATCCGTGTGAAGAACGGGTACAACTGCCATCTTAAATATAAAGCAGAACTTACATCTGTTTGTTTGTGTGAAGCAGCAAAAAGTCTCCAACGCTGTGAGCTCTGGCGTCATGAAATTTTTACAGCTTATGCTGTCTGGAATGTCTAAGCGAACGCCGCGTCATTCCCTTCCCGAGTGGCAAAAATCGACCTGACGTAGCAGTGGGTTCAGGTTGAATTTCCTTGAGTGAAAAACATCCGATTTAGTTAAATTGATTTCTTTCAGCTTTTCTTTCTTACAAGAATCACTTTTTCAGGGTTTTTCAGTGAAATATGAGGGAATATTAAATTAATCCAAGACAAGTATCCAAGTCCCGGGCAAAGCCGGGTAGTGAAGCTAGTTACTAATAAACCACAATGATCCTATCGAAATTTCGGATTTCTATCGGATCGTTGGGGGGGCACGTGCCACCCCACCCCCACTGGCTCCACCACTGTCACACACTGGCACGGTTCACAGGTGGTGGTGTGTCCAGACCCACGCCTGGCCACCTTCACCTGCTCAGTATCAATACTTCCTCACTCCACCAAGTAATTCATCGAGGATCAACCAACACAGCCGAGGCTGCGTGTCTCTCTGTGGTGAGATGTTAACTACCTGTCCTGGCATACAGGAAGTCGTGGGTTCGATCCTGACCCTGACGCCTGCTGTATATTTGTAGTTTACGTGTCTCTCTCTCTCTCCCCGTGGTCGCGTGGATTTCCTTCCCGATCCCCGGGTTTCCCCTCCACATGTAGAGAGTGAACACCGCCACGCGTCTAAAGCGAACACCGCCACGCGTCTAGAGCGAACACCGCCACGCGTCTAGAGCGAACACCGCCACGCGTCTAGAGTGAACACCGTCACACGTCTAGAGTGAACACCGCCACGCGTCTAGAGTGAACACCGCCACACGTCTAGAGTGAACACCGCCACGCGTCTAGAGTGAACACCGCCACACGTCTAGAGTGAACACCGCCACGCGTCTAGAGTGAACACCACCACGCGTCCAGAGTGAACACAGCCACGCATCTAGAGTGAACACCACCACGCGTCTAGAGTGAACACCACCACGCGTCTAGAGTGAACACCACCACGCGTCTAGAGTGAACACCGTCACACGTCTAGAGTGAACACCGCCACGCGTCTAGAGTGAACACCGCCACACGTCTAGAGTGAACACCGCCACGCGTCTAGAGTGAACACCGCCACGCGTCTAGAGTGAACACCGCCACGCGTCTAGAGTGAACACCGCCACGCGTCTAGAGTGAACACCGCCACGTATCTAGAGTGAACACCACCACGTGTCTAGAGTGAACACCGCCACGTATCTAGAGTGAACACCACCACGTGTCTAGAGTGAACACCGCCACGCGTCTAGAGTGAACACCGCCACGTATCTAGAGTGAACACCACCACGTGTCTAGAGTGAACACCGCCACGTGTCTAGAGTGAACACCGCCACGCGTCTAGAGTGAACACCACCACACGTCTAGAGTGAACACCGCCACGTGTCTAGAGTGAACACCACCACACGTCTAGAGTGAACACCACCACGTGTCTAGAGTGAACAACGCCACGTGTCTAGAGTGAACACCGCCACGTGTCTAGAGTGAACACCGCCACGCGTCTAGAGTGAACACCGCCACGCGTCTAGAGTGAACACCACCACACGTCTAGAGTGAACACCGCCACGTGTCTAGAGTGAACACCGCCACGTGTCTAGAGTGAACACCACCACACGTCTAGAGTGAACACCGCCACGTGTCTAGAGTGAACACCACCACACGTCTAGAGTGAACGCCACGTGTCTAGAGTGAACACCGCCACGTGTCTAGAGTGAACAACGCCACGTGTCTAGAGTGAACAACGCCACGTGTCTAGAGTGAACACCGCCACGTGTCTAGAGTGAACACCGCCACGCGTCTAGAGTGAACACCGCCACGTGTCTAGAGTGAACACCACCACGCGTCTAGAGTGAACACCACCACGCATCTAGAGTGAACACCACCACGTGTCTAGAGTGAACACCACCACGCGTCTAGAGTGAACACCGCCACGCGTCTAGAGTGAACACCACCACACGTCTAGAGTGAACACCGCCACGTGTCTAGAGTGAACACCACCACGTGTCTAGAGTGAACACCACCACGTGTCTAGAGTGAACACCACCACACGTCTAGAGTGAACACCGCCACGCGTCTAGAGTGAACACCGCCACGCGTCTAGAGTGAACACCACCACGTGTCGAGAGTGAACATCACCACGCTGTTGACGAGCCTCACCTTGTTGTTATTGTTGTTGTGGGCAGGTCGCTTCTGAAAACAAGAGCGGTATAGCAGCTCAAGCGGGCGTGGCCTGGTAAAAATAAAAACTGTGTTAATGTTTAAAGTAAAACAAAGGTACAAAGTGGCGAGCCGGGTGAAGACAAATTCAACTTAAGCGAGAGAATTGAAGCGAACGCGACCAGGCGAGGGCAGGAGGCAAGGCCCCGCGTTGTAAAGTTACAACGTGGACATCGCTTCCATGCTCGCTGCTACTCAATTGACATCCCGACGAGAGAGAGAGAGGCTCTACCTCGGTACACAACCACCACCACAACAACAACCACCACAACAACCACAACAACCACCACCACCGCGATGAGAATTTCTCACCTCGGATTTCAGTGCACGGCCCGAGCGGCAACTTCCTGGTCCCTCGTGACGTCACGCGGCAGCAGGTGACATGACGTCACTTGCGCGGTACAATGACACTCCCCTCTCACAATGAGCGGCTCTCAACTCGCGACGACTTTCATGAATAATTTATGTTAATGAGCCGCCAGTCACCGGGCGTGGCTTTGCCCAAAAAGGATTGGCACTGGAACAGTTATCGGCAGCGGCTGGGTGGATGTGACGTCACGCTCAAGAGCACGGTGGTCGGGTGGTGAGTGACATGACGTCACTAACGAGGCACACCTCCCCCTGGCGTTTGACGCCGATGAGGTCACGCTGAGCGGTGACGTCAGAGAGCGGGGTCGGAGTTCAAGTTTGTTGACAGAAAGGGAGCGGCAGTGTCGACTCAGCCTCAAACGAGTCCCCGGTGCGGTGTGTAGTCAACATCGCCAGCACTGGGGAGACAAAGGCGGCCGGGCGTGGTGCTGGCCACCCACCCCCCCCCCCCTCGTGTGCCGTGACGTGGCTTGGCTCTCCAGCACACCGCTGGCGACATTTCACGATGACATTTTCACGTCCATGAAAAGACAATCGCCATACTAACCTAGGCCGTTTTTTGGCTAAAAATTTACCCAATTTTCCGAGCTTTGTTTTTCTACTAAAAGTGCATTCCTTGGTTGTGTTTAGCCTGAGTAGCCCATATATTATGTAAAAAAGTGGGGAATTTCATGCATGAAATTTTCGAATATAAAAAAGTTAATCGGCATACTGTGCCGATTTTTAGCCCAAATAAGCCCAACTTTCACAGCTTTATTTTTGGACGAAAGTTAAGTCCTCTATTGTATTTACCCTTAGTATGCCATGTATTAGATTAAAAGTGGAACATTTTATGATGAAATGTTCACGTCCCAATATAGAAAATCGGCATACTAACCTAGGCCGTTTTTGGCCAATAATGGCCAAATTTTTACAGCTTCATTTTTCAATAAAAGTGCAATCCTCGGGTGTGCTTAGCCTTAGTATCCTATATATTACGATAAAAAGTGGGAAATTTCACCATGAATTTTTTTAGTAAAAAAATAAAATCGGCCAAAATTGGCCAAACTTTCACAGCCTTATTTGTCGAAAAAAGTTCATTGGCTCCATTGTATTTAGCCTTAGTATGCCATGTATTAGATGAAAAAAAAAATGTTCACGTCCCAAACAGAAAATCGACATACTAACCTCTACCGTTTTTGGCTAAAATTTTACGAATTTTTACAGCTGTACTTTTAAATAAAAAGTGCATTCCTCGGTTGTGTTGAGCCTGAGTAGCCGATATATTACATTAAAAGTGGGAAATTTCACCATGAAATTTGAAGTAAAAAGTTCAAATCGGCATACTTTACCAATGCCGTTCTTGGGCAAAATTCGCTACATTTCCATAGCTAGATTTTCCAAGAAAAAGTGAATTCCTCCATTTTGTTAAGCATTAGTATGCTCTATGTTACTTTAAAAGTGAGAAATTTCACCAAAGGAAATGCCCCACACCAGGCCCTGGCTCCACAAGATACCACCCTTATGGCGTTCTTGGTTTTGTGCCCAAGTGACACATTTGCTGCCAACCTGCTCTACCATTAAGTTCCCTCCGACTATACACGGACTGCTAAAAACATGGAAGCGAAGTGCTGCTGACGGTGAATCGGATGCCTTAGGACGAGTCTACACAGTTCATCCCAACAATCAGCAGTGCTACTTTCTCCCAATGCTTCTCCATGTTGCCAAAGGGCACACATCTTTTCAAGACCTATAAACAGTGGAACGAGTTGTCTGTCAAACATACAGGAAAGCTTGCAATCTTCGTGCAATTCTTGCGCATGATCACCTTATTCATAAAGCTTTGACAGAAGCTTCTGTTGGTCAGTCCCCTTTCCAACTGACATTGCTCTTCTGCATGACTCTTCAAGTTTGCAGCCCATCTAACCCCATGGGACTCTGGCAAAAATACAAAGAGGGCATGAGAGAGGACATCCTCCACGGAGCTCAATAACAAGATACTAACCTGGACGTCAACTTTTCTGATGTTATCTTCAAACAGGCCCTCATCCTCCTTCACGACAAACTGCACTCCATTGCTGGGAAATACTTCACGTCTATGGGACCACCAACACCCTACAGGGACAACCTGCATGCCCTTGCTCAAGAGATACTACGTGAAATATGCTATTATGCTTGACAGATTCTTAAAAACTTTAGGAAAATTAACCAAAGCTGATGGATGCACAAATAGAAGCCTACACGGAAATCTTGGAAGACATTAAGACTACAAATCGAGTCATTTTTATCCTTGATGCACCTGCCAGTACTGGGAAGACCTTTGTTTTGAAACTGCTCCTCGCAAAGGCTCGCCAGAGAGAGAAAATTGCTCTAGCTGTGGCATCACAGGGGATTGCTGTGTAAGTCGATGTGTGTGTGAGTCGATGTGTGTGTTTAGGTACATGTGTGTGTGTAAGTCGGAGTATCTGTTTTTTTTTGCCCAGGCAATGCCAGATGTTTGTGTGTGTACGTCGATGTGTGCGTAAGTCCAAGTGTCCATGTGTGTGTGTCAGTCACTGTGTGTGTGTTAGTCCATGTGTGTGCATGGCTTCATGTGAGTCACTGTGTGTGTGCGTCTATCTGTGTCAGTTGATGTGTGTATGTATATCGATGTGTATGTGTTAGTCCATGTGTGTGTTAGTCCAAAGGTGTTCGCTAACAGCACTTGCCCCTACAGTCTGTTAAGGCTGTATGGGGGATCTTTGTATTTGTGTTGGGAGCAAGTTTGAGTGGCGTGCAGTCGTGGGAGCTGAACGGGCGCCTGCTGCTACTGACAGTCGTTGACTCCGGTGGGACAGACGCTGATAGACAGACACAGACAGACAAGACAGGTGGACAGACACAGACAAGAGGAACAGAGAGAGAGATACAGAGACGACAGACACAGAGACAGGCAGAGAGAGACACAGAGGCAAACAGAGACATAGACGGACAGAGAGACGTTGAATCAAACTCACTGAACTCGCTCCATTGAAAGAGATTCCTCGATCTTTGCCCATCCCCGGAAGTCGTTCTAGTTTCTATTTATTTCATTGTGTGTGGTGTGTGGTGTAAGCAATGTGGGATATCGATGTACACGGACATGAACATCAGCAGACTTTCATACTCTTTGGTTCTTTCAGTAAAGTCACGTAGGTAGAAAAAATAAAATAATAAATAAATGACGAAGTTTCGAACGCAACACGAGCAGTCGTCCTCAGGCGAAAACATCCAGACATTGTCGCGGCAGAAGTCACGTGAGCTACAGCTGAGCATTGTTTTAATGCGGTGGGCTCACGCGAAATTGATTTCTGTAAGACGAAGGTACTTTGAAAACCCACTGGCGATGCTCTTTTATAAAAGCGCACAACTTTATCTATCTGTATTCTTAGTTCTTTCTTAAAATTATTAATTTTGATTTCATTTTTTACCTACGTGACTTTACAGAAAGAACTAAGAATATGAATCCTTGCAGTCACGAAAGCTTCAAATCTAGAATTAATCTGTGATGAATGCTGCACTTTCCGTCGTTTTCATGCAGGGGGCGCTATAACCCTACGCGCCCCCTGCATGAACGACGGAGGCGCAGAGACAAGACGTTCGATCACGTTGGAATCGATCTGCAGACAGCGGTCTTCTCGCACGGCCAGCTGTCGCCTCATCTCCATCCCGCGATCCCAACCAGGTGAAAGTCCGCATCAAACCGAATCCCCGGCAAGGCCATCTACTTAACGACGAGAGAAAATTCACACGAAATTTCGTTTTCAATTAAGTCTTCCAGATGGAAAATGATATCAGCTTTTATTTAAGAAACACAATTCAAAACATAATACAATTCAAAGTTGTTTCATTTTAAAACTTCAAAAGGGAGCATCGGGTGCTTGCGTGAATGCGTCGTTCGTGTGAATTTTCTTCGTGACTTTCCTGGCCCAAGGCCGTAAATGGTTGTGGGGGGCACCGCAGGCGGTCAGGCTTGCTTCACCCCATGGTGGTGAACATCCAGACGTTAATCGGCAAGGACCATTTCTCGTCCTAATTCGACAATATCTACGTCAACACGTAATACAAAATTATAATTCGTGTTGTTGAGAATGTATCTCCTCTACGTGTAACTTTTGAGTGGTATGCCTTGTAACAGATGAATGATCCGAGTGTTCTCCCTATTTCAAAGACAAGGAGTTGCTCCAGAGGCAGACGCTTGCTGAAAACACAAAAGTACCCTTTGACCTGTACCACAAGAACAATGAGTCTCACCTGAGTGATCTGTACAGGTTACTTCCAAAACACACACTTTGTCCTAACAAGACTTATTCAATGTTTGACTCTTATAGACAAAATGGTACATGTACGCACACCATCATACAAGTATTCATTCTAACTTATTGACAGGCATGTTAACAAAATTGAATGACTGCACTGAAATATACTGCATTAGGTTACATCCTATTAACTAGAAGCTAATTAAAAAAATACGCACCATCTGCTTAACAGTGTATGTACAACATACTAATGCACCATTCAAAACGAGTCGGCCATTGCATGCTGGCATCTGGGTCAACATTTATCAAATTCTAAACATTACCTACAAACTCCACAACTGAGATGCCACATCAACCATCGCCCCCTACTGACAGGCTCTTGTCCACATGCAGGCCGGTGCAGGGCCACCACCTTGTGCCACACAGGGGCAGCTGCTACTTGGAGATGCTCTTCGAGTGTTTGAGACGAGAAACGATACAAAACTACGAATTGTCGAGGCAATTAAGCAAGCACAATATAAATGCATATGAGAACATAGAGAATGCTTGGGAGCTTATTGGCATTCGCTCCTGGTTAGAGATCTACCCAACACACAGGTCCACAAAGACTGGCCGCTCTTACCCTGCAGGTTGAACCTAGGAACTGAGTGTTCAACTTCACATTCTTGTCATTAAAGGCTTGTGACAAAGGTGCATCTATTGGAGCGGCATCGTCTAAGGCAGTGGTTCTTAACCTTGTTGGAGGTACTGAACCCCACCAGTTTCATATGCGCATTCACAGAACCCTTTTTAATTGGAAAAATAAAATTATTTTTTCAAATTCAAAACATAGGTACATGTTTTACTGGTGCACAATCATATGAGTCAGGTGTGTGTCTTAACCTCCGCCGAACCCCTGAGACTGACTCACCGAACCCCTGGGGTTCGATCGAACCCAGGTTAAGAACCACTGTTCTAAGGCTTACGCATCTCCCGGGTCTCCATTTGACTTTGTATTGTCTCGGAGGAAGTCCACCCACACTTCCACTTCCACAAACTGCTGGGAGTTGTCTCGCTCTGCCTCACAGTCAGAATTCTCCTCCTGCTTCACGTTGCCTCCATCGATGTGAAGGTCCGATTTGGGAGTTGAATCTTCACATTTTACCTTCACTTCTTCGCTCTTCACCATCACGTCTTCATATTTCACCTTGACACCTTTAAAAGTGTCCAAGCTGGGATTTTCTTCCGGTTCTTCTTTCATGAGGGATGGGCTCATTGCGGCACTTTGACTTTCACAAGCTGATTTCAAACTCCACTCCTGGTGGATTTTCTGACACTTGTGTGTTCTCTGGTGTACATGAAGATGTGATGACTGTGCAAACGCCTTCCTGCACGAAGTGCACCTGAAGGGTTTCTCTCCCGTGTGTGTTCTCTGGTGTATTTTAAGATCAGATGAACGTGAAAACGCCTTCCCACACACACTGCACTTGAAGGGTTTCTCTCCCGTGTGGGATCTCTGGTGTTTTACAAGACCAGATGAATCTGAAAACGCCTTCCCACACAAAGTGCACTTGAAGGGTTTCTCTCCCGTGTGTGTTCTCTGGTGTTTTATAAGAGCAGATAACTGTGAAAACGTCTTCCCACACACACTGCACTTGAAGGGTTTCTCTCCTGTGTGAGTTCTCTGGTGTACTACAAGAGTAGATGACTGTGCAAACGCCTTCTCACACACACTGCACTTGAAGGGTTTCTCTCCCGTGTGTGTTCTCTGGTGTGTTACAAGATGAGCTGAACATGCAAACACCTTCCCACACACACTGCACTTGAAGGGTTTCTCTCCCGTGTGTGTTCTCTGGTGTTTTACAAGAGTAGATGAAAGTGCAAACGCCTTCCCACACACACTGCACTTGAAGGGTCTCTCTCCTGTGTGAGTTCTCTGGTGCCGTGTGAAATGTGCAGGATGATCCGTGCTGTATGCACACCGGTCGCATTGTTGCCTTTTTGCACCGAGCCACGCCAAGTGCCTTTGCTCCATGAGACCACTTCTGTAGAGGCAGCGACAGCTGCAGACAGAAACAAAGAATATCCAAACCATCTACACGTCAGTATCGAGGCACAGAGGAATGCATATATACACAGTCACACGTGACTTACACGTCTATACTTATTCATATATTTATAATATAGTAAAAAAAAGTGTCCCAAATTCATCACACGGGCTGTTATGGCACACAATGAGAGAGCAAATGGTCATAAACATGCCTGGAAGCCCTCGTATCTTCAAAATGAACGTTAACCCAAAACTCAGCACACAATTTCAGCTGTCTGGCTTCTAAATAAATGTTTATGAAAGCTAAATTCAGCTGACATAGCAAAGGGTGTTGAAAATACTATTTGTGTCATGCACAAATGCATAAATTAATGTTCAATCGCAATTTAGAGGTGTGAAGCCAGGCACAGATGTCCTTGATTGCTGGGATGAGCAGTTCTGACTTCAGCTGCTGCACGTGTGTGCTGTGATCACTTCCTGACTCCATTCTTACAAAGAGTTCCAGAGGAAAACTAAAATAAACTACCGTTTTGATATAACCTCTGTGCTCAATAGAGTTAATAGACTTTACTGCAAATACAAACTTGACACTGTCACACACTCAGAGGTGGAGCCAGGATTTTCAGGTAGGGGGGGGAAACCCCTCCAGCAATGAAAAATTACAGGAGTTGTTGTAAGCAAGGAGTTGTTAGTGAGAAAGGAGTTGTTAGTAAGAAAGGACTTGTCCCTTGCTTTTCATTCGACGCGTGTGATCGTCATCGCACTCGCTGAACGTGTTAATGCATTCAGGAAAGAAAAATAGACTTTTGTATTTTGGGGGAGGGGGAAATGACCATGACGTATGTGGCATCAACCCGCATCACACCTGAGCTAAGCGCTCTGCAATGCTTACCCCCCTACCACATGGCTCTTCGCGCGCCGTACTTCTACAGCTGTTCACAGCGTGCCGGGAGATTTTAGGTGGCGCTTCGCTCCAGGCCGATTAAGTCATTGGCTTCTCGGAGTTTCAATACAAATCCGTGTGAAGAACGGGTACAACTGCCATCTTAAATATAAAGCAGAACTTACATCTGTTTGTTTGTGTGAAGCAGCAAAAAGTCTCCAACGCTGTGAGCTCTGGCGTCATGAAATTTTTACAGCTTATGCTGTCTGGAATGTCTAAGCGAACGCCGCGTCATTCCCTTCCCGAGTGGCAAAAATCGACCTGACGTAGCAGTGGGTTCAGGTTGAATTTCCTTGAGTGAAAAACATCCGATTTAGTTAAATTGATTTCTTTCAGCTTTTCTTTCTTACAAGAATCACTTTTTCAGGGTTTTTCAGTGAAATATGAGGGAATATTAAATTAATCCAAGACAAGTATCCAAGTCCCGGGCAAAGCCGGGTAGTGAAGCTAGTTACTAATAAACCACAATGATCCTATCGAAATTTCGGATTTCTATCGGATCGTTGGGGGGGCACGTGCCACCCCACCCCCACTGGCTCCACCACTGTCACACACTGGCACGGTTCACAGGTGGTGGTGTGTCCAGACCCACGCCTGGCCACCTTCACCTGCTCAGTATTAATACTTCCTCACTCCACCAAGTAATTCATCGAGGATCAACCAACACAGCCGAGGCTGCGTGTCTCTCTGTGGTGAGATGTTAACTACCTGTCCTGGCATACAGGAAGTCGTGGGTTCGATCCTGACCCTGACGCCTGCTGTATATTTGTAGTTTACGTGTCTCTCTCTCTCTCCCCGTGGTCGCGTGGATTTCCTTCCCGATCCCCGGGTTTCCCCTCCACATGTAAAGAGTGAACACCGCCACGCGTCTAGAGTGAACACCGCCACGCGTCTAGAGCGAACACCGCCACGCGTCTAGAGCGAACACCGCCACGCGTCTAGAGTGAACACCGTCACACGTCTAGAGTGAACACCGCCACGCGTCTAGAGTGAACACCGCCACGCGTCTAGAGTGAACACCGCCACGCGTCTAGAGTGAACACCGCCACACGTCTAGAGTGAACACCGCCACGCGTCTAGAGTGAACACCACCACGCGTCCAGAGTGAACACAGCCACGCATCTAGAGTGAACACCACCACGCGTCTAGAGTGAACACCACCACGCGTCTAGAGTGAACACCGTCACACGTCTAGAGTGAACACCGCCATGCGTCTAGAGTGAACACCGCCACACGTCTAGAGTGAACACCGCCACACGTCTAGAGTGAACACCGCCACGCGTCTAGAGTGAACACCGCCACGCGTCTAGAGTGAACACCGCCACGCGTCTAGAGCGAACACCGCCACGTGTCTAGAGTGAACACCACCACGCTGTTGACGAGCCTCACCTTGTTGTTGTTGTGGGCAGGTCGCTTCTGAAAACAAGAGCGGTACAGCAGCTCAAGCGAGCGTGGCCTGGTAAAAAATGGAAAAAACTGAATATTTAAAACAAAACAAAGTTACAAAGTAGCGAGCCAGGTGAAGGGAAATTAAAACTTAAGCAAGATACTTTTTGGTTCTTTCGGTAAAGTCACGTAGAATAAATAAATACATTATATAATAGCATACGACGTTTCAACTGCAACACAAGCAATCATCATCAGGTACAAATGAAAAAAAAACCTATTAAACTTAGAGTCATCCAACATAACAGTCAACACCCTACCTGGTTGATAACGTTCTTCCAAAGATTGCTCAATTTGAGAGAGAGACACGGAGACACATAGACAGACACATAAACAGAGAGAGATGACACAAAGACACACAGAGAGAGACACATAGACACACAGAGAGAGAGACATAGACACACAGAGAGAGATGACAGAAAGACACAGAGAGAGAGACACACACACATAGACACACAGAGAGAGACACACACAGACACACAGAGAGAGATGACAGAGAGACACACAGAGAGAGAGACACACATAGACACACAGAGAGAGATGACACATAGACACACAGAGAGAGACACACATAGGCACACAGAGAAACAACGCCTCTGTGTTGAGGCCTTAAATAGAGAGAGGGGGGGGGGGTAGAGAAACTAGCACGTCAATGCAAGGCCGTAGCCATGGAGTCAACATTGGGGGGGACCAAATCTTCCACGGGTCTGGGGTGGCCCCCCCCAGAAAAATATCTAAATTTCAAAACTATTTTCCTGCCATTTCCTCCCTAAAATATTTTTTTAAGTTCACTAGCACATGGGATGGACTTTGTTTTATTTGATACAATAACGTCTAATAGTGTATTGTAATACATTGCTCTGTTTTTTCTTTTTTACCTTTCTTGTTTCATAGTATGTAACGGCAGAGATTAGGGATTCATAAAGTACAACGCAATCCTACAAACAGGAATCTATGCATTGTTATATGAAGACAAGTCCAGATTTCGTGGCCAAGGTTTAGCAAATTGTTGTCTTTATTAACAGAGCATCGCAATTATTATTTACAAATATTTTTACAGAAATATATTGGGGAGGCATATTTGATTATTATACTTATAACATATTATAACATTATAATTATGACATATTATACGTATTATAACATTATAATTAATAAATATTAATATAATTATTATAACATATACTTATTATAGCATTATAATGATTATATATTAATATAATTATAACATATTATACTTATTATAACATTATAATTATTATATATTTCAACGTAATATTATACTTATTATAACAAGTTATAATGACGGCCTTGTGTCAATGAGAGACTTGGAGGTTTGGTGACTGCACAAAGAGAGACACTTAATCAAACAAATTAAAAAAGTAATGCAATGCAACACCGAGAGTCGGTCAACACACCAACTAACGTACTCTTAGGTTTTTTCGGTAAAGTCACCACGTAGGTAAAAAATGAAATTAAAATTAATAAAAGTAAAAATAGAAATAAAATAATAAAATTATAATAAATCATGCCTCACTTGATGCAGCAAATTATAGTCTACATTATAGACTGCCAGTACACTCACCCAGCTTAATAACCAGGCTACAGTCTACATTATAGACTGCCAGTACACTCACCCAGCTTAATAACCAGGCTACAGTCTACATTATAGACTGCCAGTACACTCACCCAGCTTAATAACCAGGCTACAGTCTACATTATAGACTGCCAGTACACTCACTCAGCTTAATAACCAGGCTACAGTCTACATTATAGACTGCCAGTACACTCACCCAGCTTAATAACCATGCTACAGTCTACATTATAGACTGCCAGTACACTCACCCAGCTTAATAACCAGGCTACAGTCTACACTATAGACTGCCAGTACACTCACCCAGCTTAATAACCAGGCTACAGTCTACATTATAGACTGCCAGTACACTCACCCAGCTTAATAACCAGGCTACAGTCTACATTATAGACTGCCAGTACACTCACCCAGCTTAATAACCAGGCTACAGTCTACATTATAGACTGCCAGTACACTCACCCAGCTTAATAACCAGGCTACAGTCTACATTATAGACTGCCAGTACACTCACCCAGCTTAATAACCAGGCTACAGTCTACATTATAGACTGCCAGTACACTCACCCAGCTTAATAACCAGGCTACAGTCTACATTATAGACTGCCAGTACACTCACCCAGCTTAATAACCAGGCTACAGTCTACATTATAGACTGCCAGTACACTCACCCAGCTTAATAACCAGGCTACAGTCTATATTATAGACTGCCAGTACACTCACCCAGCTTAATAACCAGGCTACAGTCTACATTATAGACTGCCAGTACACTCACCCAGCTTAATAACCATGCTACAGTCTACATTATAGACTGCCAGTACACTCACCCAGCTTAATAACCAGGCTACAGTCTACACTATAGACTGCCAGTACACTCACCCAGCTTAATAACCAGGCTACAGTCTACATTATAGACTGCCAGTACACTCACCCAGCTTAATAACCAGGCTACAGTCTACATTATAGACTGCCAGTACACTCACCCAGCTTAATAACCAGGCTACAGTCTACATTATAGACTGCCAGTACACTCACCCAGCTTAATAACCAGGCTACAGTCTACATTATAGACTGCCAGTACACTCACCCAGCTTAATAACCAGGCTACAGTCTACATTATAGACTGCCAGTACACTCACCCAGCTTAATAACCAGGCTACAGTCTACATTATAGACTGCCAGTACACTCACTCAGCTTAATAACCAGGCTACAGTCTACATTATAGACTGCCAGTACACTCACCCAGCTTAATAACCATGCTACAGTCTACATTATAGACTGCCAGTACACTCACCCAGCTTAATAACCAGGCTACAGTCTACACTATAGACTGCCAGTACACTCACCCAGCTTAATAACCAGGCTACAGTCTACATTATAGACTGCCAGTACACTCACCCAGCTTAATAACCAGGCTACAGTCTACATTATAGACTGCCAGTACACTCACCCAGCTTAACAACCAGGCTACAGTCTACATTATAGACTGCCAGTACACTCACCCAGCTTAATAACCAGGCTACAGTCTACATTATAGACTGCCAGTACACTCACCCAGCTTAATAACCAGGCTACAGTCTACATTATAGACTGCCAGTACACTCACCCAGCTTAATAACCAGGCTACAGTATATATTATAGACTGCCAGTACACTCACCCAGTTTAATAACCAGGCTACAGTCTACATTATAGACTGCCAGTACACTCACCCAGCTTAATAACCAGACTACAGTCTACATTATAGACTGCCAGTAAACTCACCCAGCTTAATAACCAGGCTACAGTCTACATTATAGACTGCCAGTACTCACCCAGCTTAATAACCAGGCTACAGTCTACATTATAGACTGCCAGTACACTCACCCAGCTTAATAACCAGGCTACAGTCTACATTATAGACTGCCAGTACACTCACCCAGCTTAATAACCAGGCTACAGTCTACATTATAGACTGCCAGTAAACTCACCCAGCTTAATAACCAGGCTACAGTCTACATTATAGACTGCCAGTACACTCACCCAGCTTAATAACCAGGCTACAGTCTACATTATAGACTGCCAGTAATCTCACCCAGCTTAATAACCAGGCTACAGTCTACATTATAGACTGCCAGTACACTCACCCAGCTTAATAACCAGGCTACAGTCTACATTATAGACTGCCAGTAAACTCACCCAGCTTAATAACCAGGCTACAGTCTACATTATAGACTGCCAGTACACTCACCCAGCTTAATAACCAGGCTACAGTCTACATTATAGACTGCCAGTACACTCACCCAGCTTAATAACCAGGCTACAGTCTACATTATAGACTGCCAGTACACTCACCCAGCTTAATAACCAGGCTACAGTCTACATTATAGACTGCCAGTAAACTCACCCAGCTTAATAACCAGGCTACAGTCTACATTATAGACTGCAGGTACACTCACCCAGCTTAATAACCAGGCTACAGTCTACATTATAGACTGCCAGTAAACTCACCCAGCTTAATAACCAGGCTACAGTCTACATTATAGACTGCCAGTACACTCACCCAGCTTAATAACCAGGCTACAGTCTACATTATAGACTGCCAGTACACTCACCCAGCTTAATAACCAGGCTACAGTCTACATTATAGACTGCCAGTACACTCACCCAGCTTAATAACCAGGCTACAGTCTACATTATAGACTGCCAGTACACTCACCCAGCTTAATAACCAGGCTACAGTCTACATTATAGACTGCCAGTACACTCACCCAGCTTAATAACCAGGCTACAGTCTACATTATAGACTGCCAGTACACTCACCCAGCTTAATAACCAGGCTACAGTCTACATTATAGACTGCCAGTACACTCACCCAGCTTAATAACCAGGCTACAGTCTACATTATAGACTGCCAGTACACTCACCCAGCTTAATAACCAGGCTACAGTCTACATTATAGACTGCCAGTACACTCACCCAGCTTAATAACCAGGCTACAGTCTACATTATAGACTGCCAGTACACTCACCCAGCTTAATAACCAGGCTACAGTCTACATTATAGACTGCCAGTACACTCACCCAGCTTAATAACCAGGCTACAGTCTACATTATAGACTGCCAGTACACTCACCCAGCTTAATAACCAGGCTACAGTCTACATTATAGACTGCCAGTACACTCACCCAGCTTAATAACCAGGCTACAGTCTACATTATAGACTGCCAGTACACTCACCCAGCTTAATAACCAGGCTACAGTCTACATTATAGACTGCCAGTACACTCACCCAGCTTAATAACCAGGCTACAGTCTACATTATAGACTGCCAGTACACTCACCCAGCTTAATAACCAGGCTACAGTCTACATTATAGACTGCCAGTACACTCACCCAGCTTAATAACCAGGCTACAGTCTACATTATAGACTGCCAGTACACTCACCCAGCTTAATAACCAGGCTACAGTCTACATTATAGACTGCCAGTACACTCACCCAGCTTAATAACCAGGCTACAGTCTACATTATAGACTGCCAGTACACTCACCCAGCTTAATAACCAGGCTACAGTCTACATTATAGACTGCCAGTACACTCACCCAGCTTAATAACCAGGCTACAGTCTACATTATAGACTGCCAGTACACTCACCCAGCTTAATAACCAGACTACAGTCTACATTATAGACTGCCAGTAAACTCACCCAGCTTAATAACCAGGCTACAGTCTACATTATAGACTGCCAGTACACTCACCCAGCTTAATAACCAGGCTACAGTCTACATTATAGACTGCCAGTACACTCACCCAGCTTAATAACCAGGCTACAGTCTACATTATAGACTGCCAGTACACTCACCCAGCTTAATAACCAGGCTACAGTCTACATTATAGACTGCCAGTAAACTCACCCAGCTTAATAACCAGGCTACAGTCTACATTATAGACTGCCAGTACACTCACCCAGCTTAATAACCAGGCTACAGTCTACATTATAGACTGCCAGTAATCTCACCCAGCTTAATAACCAGGCTACAGTCTACATTATAGACTGCCAGTACACTCACCCAGCTTAATAACCAGGCTACAGTCTACATTATAGACTGCCAGTACACTCACCCAGCTTAATAACCAGGCTACAGTCTACATTATAGACTGCCAGTAAACTCACCCAGCTTAATAACCAGGCTACAGTCTACATTATAGACTGCCAGTACACTCACCCAGCTTTTAAATAACCAGGCTACAGTCTACATTATAGACTGCCAGTAAACTCACCCAGCTTAATAACCAGGCTACAGTCTACATTATAGACTGCCAGTACACTCACCCAGCTTAATAACCAGGCTACAGTCTACATTATAG